CTCATTATCATACCAACTAAAAGCAAAACAAAATTTTAAAACTCATGCTCAAAAAAGAAATGAATGATTTACCATTGCAAAAGAAATGTTAAGACATGAGACATTTTTATATCACAGTCTGACCCTGGGTTAGAACTCCACTGAGGATCAGCCCTCTCATTTTCAATATAACCTATTTTATGTCACAACTAATCAGCATAAAGGAAAAATTATAATGTGTCAAATCACAAGGAACAATTTCAGGATGTACCAAATGGAATTCCTGTAATCCAATTTCATTATACTTGTAATTTGTTCAGATTTAAAGCCTATGATGTGAAAGTGTTCAAATTGTTTACTTATTGAAATGGTTATTATACAAAGTCATAAGAAATGTACAAAATATCATACTTACTTCCAGGAGACATCAACAATGTACAGTTCTGCAGGACTACATATATCAGGAGTATCTCACTTTCATCATTGCTGGGACAAAATACCTGACAGCACAAAGGAGGAAGTATATTATGATTCACAGTTTCAGTCCGTGGTGGGCCTGCTCCAAGGCAGGAACAGGGTAGCAGACAGGCACAGTTGAGGAAAAGCTGCTCATGTCATGCAGCTCAGGAAGCAGAGGAGAAAGAGGAGACAGGAAGGGATATTTACCCCTACAGGACATGTGCCCCATGGCCAGACTCCTAACTGCAAGTAAGGCTCATGACTCCATCACCTTCCAAAGGCCCTACCTAGGGCAGGAAGTCCTAAGAAGGCATCGAAGATCTAAACCAGAACAGAGACACTTATTCAAAGATTAAAGTACAGGTCATTTAGATAAGATGGACATACAGACTTCTTCATGTAGTAAATCTAAAGTGTGTACATGAATACAATAAACACAGACACTCTTAGTTTCCAGTAGTAGACAAAGGAGGTCAACAAGTACTTGCTTCACTTATCTGGATGCTCTTCAATATCAGGTGAGATCGAACCCCCAGATTTGTTGAACAATTTCTCAACACATAAATAAGCAAGTTGAATGTGGAGTGCTCGAATAATTGTGACAATCACTAGTGTTTTTATATTTTTAAAATTAATTTTGATGACACACTATGTTAGAGAGAAACAGGAAATTAATTTCTATGTTATAAACACCCTGAAGAGAAGCAAGACAAAGCAGAGAAAGTAAGAAAGTTGCAGAGTTCAGACACATTTTAGAAATGCTGTGGGCTATGACTCTATGGGGGATGTCAGAACCAGTATTTGAATTAAATAACACAAAGTGACAAAGAATTCTTCTTCACCCACCCTTAAAAATAATGGGACAACACACATTAGCCACAGTTATGTCAAAAATCAACTGAGTAATCATGGTCAGGATCTGCTCTTAATATTATTGCATTCTGCTGAACAGGATGTCTATCTCCAATCAGTACCTCACTCTTGATTATTTTAGCTTTGCTTTAAGAAATAGGCTGTGTGAATGTTCCAAATTTAATCTTTTCCAAGATTTCTTGGACTCAGATTATTTATATTTTCAAATAAAAAACAAATTGCACATTTATGCAAAAATACTTTAATTTTGATTAGTAATAAATCTATAGACTTGGGTTGCATTTACTTGATCAGTTGTTCACAGTTTAATTGCTGGTATCATCTCTCCTGTTTTTCTTCCTTCCTTCCCCTTTTTTATGCTTTATTTCTTTCCTTCTCTCCTTCTTTCCTTCCTTCTTTTCTTGCTTTCCTCCTTCCTGCCTCTCCTCTTCCATTCTTCCTTCCTCCCTTATTTCCTTCTTTCCCTCTTTTCTTGTTCTCCTCCTTTCTTTTCCTCCTTCCTTCCTTTCCTTCCCTCTCACTCCTCTCTGTTGCTATCTGTTTCTTTGTCTTCTATTCTCTCTCTCTCTCTCTCTCTCTCTCTCTCTCTCTCTCTCTCTCTCTCTCTCTCTCTTCTACTCTCTCTCACTGTTGTTCTCTTGTGGTCTCTCTCCACTAATTCAGAACTCTGGATGTAGAGGTCAGTATTAAGGAATTACATAAAAGATTGGTTTTTTGTTTATGCATCTAATGAGCTACCATTCTATATATTAGTAGATGGGCTCCCTAAGTTAAAACAGGTCCTTATCCCAGTCAAAATTTTGATGTTAATATCTGCTAGAGCTCCAATAGCTAATGTCTAGTTAAATTTGATATCACAATTATCTGCACACTGCTCCAACTCCCCTATCAATACAACTTCTTCACATGTTCCACCTTTTCTATGAAATACTCAATGACCTTAAATTTATTTCTCTTACCAATAAACAACATAAAAACACTAAAATTTAAATCAGCACAGTACACTTATTAAATAACATGCATTCTTTGATAAGTTGTTTCTGATATTTTATTTATGTATCTGCTTCAGTATTTTGAGAGAATTCACAGCTTATAATTTCCAGGAAGAGGAAACTGTGTTGCAGAGAACTTAACCATCAACTCAATATCAAATGGATAGTTAGAATTGAAGATGAAACTATATCCTAAGTCATCAGATTTCTTTTGCACTGAGCTATCCTTTTTTAACCAGAAGCCAAAGTTCCTTTGTGAAATAGTTTTAACCATGTAGTTCATTATCCTAGTATCTGTTACTTGCTACCTTTGGGGAGGAAAAAATCTTGTTAATTCCCTGTCCAGAAAAGTACCTTAAGGCATCCCTGGGGATGAAAAAGGAACTCCCGAAGTATGAATAAAATCCCAAGTACATGTAGTCATTGCATGACATAACTGAGTGAGCCTTTCAATTTCACAGGAAAGAAGTGAGGAGCTCTTCATTTACAAAATACTTCAGAAATTATAACCTTCAACTTGAAACTAAAGTATAAACCTTAATACTTGAATCTAACAAAGGATTCTAATAAAATAAAAACTGAGTATCAGGCTTTCTAAAGAACTTCACAGAGAAAATTGGAAAAAAAATTTCATAGTTTGTTCAAAAGGGCTGCAAAATAGAAATTTGATTTAATTTCCTTGAATGATAACATCTAGAAGAGCAGCAATAGAATAAAAGACTATATGTGAAATTTAGGAAAAATAATTATATGGAAAGTGAACTTTACACCAGCCATTGAATACATTTCATTTGGGGATTATTGTTTTAATTCCTTTAGCAAAAATCACAAACAAATTTAAATTTATTTACTAGTCAGCTCAGTGAGATAGATACAACTTAAATGTTCTTGGGAAAATATCATGGGCTACTTAAACTGTTTCTTTCCAGTATTGAAATGTGCAAGGGCACCAATTCTGTGATTTCTAAGGGACACTATTTTCAGAATTGTGGTGTGCACTGTGTGGCTGAGAAAGCTACAGTTGTGTTTGAGCCTCAGCTTTCTGGTCAATGTAATTTACTTTGTAGATGCTGTGATATAATGAAGAGTAAATTTCCAACACTTTGCAAACACCTAATAATATGCGGCAGCTGCATCACAGCTTTTCCTTAGAGAACCTAGTGTTAGTAACTCTATTACCATGTATCACTGACTTCTAATTGTTTGTAATTTTGGACCATAGGTTTTATTTTAGTATTCCAGACTAATAAAATTTTGTTAAAATGAAAAATCTGTATCTGTACTTCAGTCTTTCTAGTCTCTCTACTCTCTTAAAATGAAATGAGCTAGACATAAACACAACCATTTCTAACTTCCTAAAATATTATTTAATGGAAAACTTATTTGAAGTGGACTTTGGACAAGGAGCTAAACTTTGACCCATTTCATTATTGTGAATCTGGTTTTCCTGGTCAAAGGGATAAACACTCAATTGAGATGTGATTTGCAATAAAATAAACTTTCATATATAGGCTGCATACATGTTTTACAGAGAAGATCCCAGATGTCAAGTGTTCCATAGAATATTTCATAGACATGAGGATCAGAGAAAATTAGTAAATATACTATTATTTTACTAACATGCAAATAGTCAGACTACCGTGACAAAGTTTAATTTTAAACTATTTTGTGTATCAGATTATTGGGAGTTAGTGGATTTAAACCTCAGGAAAACATTATTTTAATATGTTTGCTATTGTACAACAAATGTATGTATAAAGAAAAAGAACAAATCCCTTCTGATTTGGAGTCTGTTAACTTCTCAATGCCTTTATTAGAAGTTTGATTTTATAAATCCCTACTTATTTCATTGAATAAGTAAAATTTTGAAGTATTATTTCGTATCTGTGCCCCCTTATATAATTAAATTTTATAAAGTTCAACAAGCTACATAATAATTTTTGACAGATTTTAGATGCTATAATATAAAAAAGAGGAGACTTTTTAACCTTACAAGGGTACTAGTCTCTAAATTATTAAAATGGGATCTTAGGATCCAAATATAATTTGCATCATGAAATTGATGCTTGATTCTAATGTATGTGAAATTTCTCCTGTGTACTTTTGTCAAAAAGTATTTTGTAATGGAGTCCATTAGTAGATCACCTATTAGTACATTCTTCCAAATTTGTTTGCAAATTTTCTTCCCTGTCTGCTTAACTATTGTTTGTCCTCGATGTCTATAATAAATATTTTGGAAATGTATCCCTAATTGTGTGTGAGACAGAAAAAGAGAGATAGAGATAGAGAGAGAGACAGACTCAGACTCAGATGGGGAGTCAAAGCTGAGAGATGAGTTGGAAAGGGAAAATAAAAATTTTTAAAACAGAAATGTATTTTTGTGACATCTAAATGAGCCACTGATTTTTACATATATTATTTATCAATTGTTTTTGAAAAGGTGATTTAGCAATGTAGTAAAAAATTATACATTATTATAAAAGGTCTGTGTTTTCTTATGAATCATATATTGGTTGTGTGAAGAAGCTAATGAGCATAGTTTTTGTTGCTTTTTTCTGTTATCTCCCACTTATGGAGCAATTTATTATAGATATTACAAAGAATATTTCTAGTGGACCTGGGAGTCAATAATATACATACATGGCTTTCTTCTAACATTAGTGTAAATTCATTGTTTAACGTCTTACTCTTTTTTAGATCACGACTTTAGATCATGACTTCCTTTGTTTTAGATCATGACTGTAAATAATTTGCAAGTTTATGAAATCATCCTGGACCTCACTACATCAAGGTTTTCACTTCTTCTAAAAAGTCTTTTCATCTGTAAAATACTGAAAGAAAAATACCAGCTCCATGATAAGAACTTCTCCCTAACTACAGTGGATCCAATATTTCATTGCATTTCTAGAAATGAAGTTTTCAGTAAGAAGCAGGTGACTATAACTTTCTTGTTGTTAATTCTGTATTTATGCATTTTTCTTAACTGTGCCTATGTAATGAGAAAAATTATAAGGATATCAAGAAAAATACTCTGACATCAAATACCACTATCTGGCAATTTTTAAAATTTTAGCAATGGCTTCTTCTAAGTAAAAATTTCAAGTGCAATTTATCTCATAGTTATTTTAGAAAATCCAAAATAAATTGCAATACATCATTGATAGCAACAATTTATTTTTTCAAGAAAAATATATCCCAGAATTATTTCAAAGATTTTGAAAGTAAACTGAGCATATAAATTGAAAAAAAAATCATGTTGTTAAGTTAAATTTGAAAGAATATAAGAATGCAATAAGCTAGTGAGGTCGAACAAGGGCAACTTGTGATATATATTTTGAGAAAAAAACTAAACATAAAATGGCAGTGATTTCATTTGCAAATAAAGTGTATTTATCTCCAGCCTATGATGTCATATTTTATTGATGGGAACAGTTTTCATAGCAGTGCATAAAATGATTTCTCTTGCAATCTCATGTGATAACTCCAAATGGAAGTGTAAAATTCCTTTTTCCACTCATTTGGAAACATTTTAAAATTAAGTGATTTTGAGAATTTGTTCTAATTTTGATCCCACACAGTCTCTGACACAAAAATTGGCTCGCTCCCATTTTAACAATAAAAATGAAGGACATTTATGGTACTTCATAGCAAGCCAAGGATAACATACAGAAGCATGTTTTCCACTATATTTTGAGGCTTAAATATACTTATATTAACTTTTGTGAATTTTAAAATCATCTCACAGCAGATGGTAGAAAATGTAACAAAAATAAATGGACACAAAACTCATACACATAGGCATCGCAGTGTTTTGGCATAATAAATTCAGCCAACAAATGAATTAAATTATTTATTTCTTTTCCTTATACAGCAAAGTGCATCCATTTGGGTCCAATTTCTTTACCACTGATCATCCCCTGCCTACTGAGGAAGTTGTTATGCCATTCTGAGAAACACACATGTAGATATGGCTGAATGGACTCCAAGGACAAGGGAAATTCCTATTAGAACCTGTAAATAAAAACTGAAATGAAAAGATCCTCATCAGATTTGGATATATGCAAGGTTAATCTGAAGAACATGCCTGAAGTCAGCATGTTTATACTTTTAGGTTTCACAGATGTTGGGGACTTGCAAGTTCTGTTATTTTTAGTAATCCTTGCAATCTATCTTTTTACTCTGATAGGAAACCTGGGTCTAGTGGTACTGCTCATTGGTGACACCCGACTTCACAACTCAGTATACTATTTCCTGAGTGTTTTATCATTCCTGGATGCCTGCTATTCCACTGTTGTCACTCAAAAATGTTGGTTAATTTCCTGGTAGAAGATAAATCAATTTCATTCCATGGATGTGTAGCACAGATGCTCCTCTTTGTTAGTTTCTGAAGCACAGAATCATTTCTCTTGGTGGCAATGGTTTATGACTGCTATGTGGCCATCTAACACCTGTTGCTCTATTCAGTAAGGATGTCACCCAGAGTCTATGTGCCTCTCATCACTGCTTCCTGTGCTGGTGGCATTTTACATGCCATGATATATACTGTGGTCACATTTAGCCTGTCCTCTGTGGATCCAATGAAATTAGGCACATGTTCTGTGATATCCCCCCTGTCCTCACTATCTCCTGTTCTGCTATTCACACAAACCAGCTTCTACTCTTCTACTTTGTGGGTGCCATTGAGGTGGTCGCCATCCTGATCATCCGCATCTCCTGTGGCTTCATCCTGTTGGCCATTCTGAGGATGCATTCTGCTGAAGGGAGGAAGAAAGTGTTCTCCATATGTGGCTCACACCTAACTGGAGTGTCCATTTATCATGGGACAATTATCTTTATGTACTTGAGACCAAGTTCCAGCTACACCTTGGAGCATGGTATGGTGATGTCCACATTCTACACCATTGTCATTCCCATGCTCAATCCCATCATCTATAGTTTGAGGAACAAAGAAGTCAAAGAGGTGATCCAAAGACTCTTTGCAAGGTACTGTTCTATAAATGATGTAATATTTAGAATTGAATAGACCTCATGTTGAATCTATTTTTCTTCATTCTGAAACTGAGAAGGAAAATTTTCTGCTCTAATTTATTGTGCTGTATAACCTCAAAAATTTCCAAATAAAGCATTTATCTGTTCTCCAATACATTTTTTTAATTCCACACTCCTAGGGCAGAGAAGGTGAGCCAGTCCCAGCACACAGGAGGCTCCCCTGCCACCAGTCCATGCTCCCAGGGCAGAGAAGATGAGCCAGTCAGGCACCAGAATCACCCAACCACCCACCATGGAAATGAGAAGACACATAAACAAGCTTCAAAAACAGACTTCCAGGTCACCTACAGCAACCCCAAAGGGAAACAAGATGGAACACTCTGTTATTCAACCACCTGGACTCCCTGAACTGGCAACAAAAGAGGATCTGGAAAAAATGAAATCAGAAATAATTTCTCACATAACAGCAAAGATTGTGCCCATAATGCAAGACATGATTAATAAATCTAGAGAGGACACAGATAAAAAAATAGAGAATCTGAGGAACATGATGGAATCCCAATATAGGAAACAAATTGAATCCATAAAACAGATGCAGATTTCCAGGAGATTAAAAGCTCCATTGAAAGTCTATGCAGCAGAATGAACCAACGTGATGACAGAATTTTAGATATAGAAGATAAGATTGCAACTAGTGACCAGGAAAAGAAAAATTGCTTTAAAATTGTAAGGGATCATGAAAAATCAATCCAGCAGCTGCTAGACGATGCAAAGAAGAATAACATAAGACTGATTGGAGTCAATGAAGAAACAGGAGAGAGAGCAGATGACGTAAAAAAACTGTTCACAGAAGTGGTGACAGAAAACTTCCAAAGGAGAAAAGAAGTTGACATACACATAAGTGAGGCATATAGGACTCCAAATAGCCTTGATCAAAAAAAAAATCTACACATAGGCATATAATAGTTAGGATCCCAGAAACCCAACAGAAGAACAAAATTCTACAAGCAGTGAGAGAAAAGAAACAAATCACATACAAAGGAAAGCCTATCAAAATCACAGCAGACTTCTCAGTGCAAACCCGGAAGGCAAGAAGAGCTTGGAGTGATGTATTTCAAGCCCTAAAGGATAACAGCCTCCAACCCAGGCTGATGTACCCTACAAAAATATCTTTCAAAATTGATGGAGAAATAAGATACTTTCATGATAAGGAAAACCTTAGGAACTTCATGAATACCAAACCAACACTCCAAAAAATTTTAGACAATATCCTAGGAAAAGACAATGAGGCTCACAACCCCAGGGAGCCCAGCAGTTTTTAAAATGTAAATTAATTGTGACACCCATATCCTGATCACTATGTTCAATGATATCCATATTTTAAAATCTTTGATGTCAATATATAATTGTTACTTGTGTAATTTTATTTTCCATGTATTGATATATCCACATGTTGTTTAGACTTAGTCTTCATCAGTCATTTTAATTGTATTACCTCATTCTAGAGGTAATACATTCTTGTGAAGGATATGGCCCCCACAGATGTTATTTTACTCCCTCTACCTTGACATGCTAAGAACCATCCTAGTCTTTGGACATGCTGGTTGTTCTATTTTACTCCATAGCATATAATTTTTTCAATTATCATAATTTTGCCACTTGCCAATTACAGAAATTGATTGTATCTGTGTTGCACATACCTTAAAGTAATAGAAGTCTACAGTATTACACAGGATTACTTCAAGTCTGGAAAAGCATTGAAAATTTAACTTAGAAAATAAACTAAATGAATTTAGTTCAGTCATCATAGAGAACACTATTGAGATGTAAAAAAAAGGATAAATAAGCTATTATACGATCCAGCCATACCATTGCTGGGGATATATCTAAAAGAATTGAAATCTTAGTCTCATGCTCATTACAGCATTATTCACCAAGTATAAATATTTTTTTAAAAAACCTATGAGTGCAACAATGGATGAATGGATGAAAATAAGGTGATAAATATACATAATCAGTACTCTTCATCCTTTAATATAGACAACATTATAGTACTTGGGACAACATGGTTTGATCTAAAGAATATTATGTTAAATGAAATTAGTCAGGCACAGGAAATTTCAAGCCTTCATTTATATGTAGGATCTAAGGAAAGCTGAATTCTTAGGAGTAGAGACTGAAATGATGGTTACCAATGTCCAAGCATCAGTGCATAGGAAAGGGAATGGGGAGCTCATATCAAAGGATAAAACATTTCAACTAGACAAGGGGAGAAAGGTCTGGGATCAGGATGAGCATAGTCAATGAAACTGCGCTCTGCCCTCCAAGAGTTTCTGTTGTGTATTCACTAACAATATCCAACTAGAAAAGAGTACTCAAGGAAATTTTTCTTTTAAAAGTTAAATTTGAAGTATGAGATTGACATTGACATCAATAACTTTTACTCACTTTTGGAGCTCTCACCATCATTTAAGGAGAGAAAATCCAGACAGGCACATGCTGAAGTGTGCATTATTGATCCCTTGTGTAGATTCCAAGCCAATCTAGATGACATAATGAAGATTAAACATCACACTGCCCATTCATATTTCAAGTCCTGCACAGTGGCAATAACCTCAACAAGACCCCCACTAATGAAATATTGCTTTTGGTTTATTATTTTCTAATAAGATACATATCTAGTGGAGTCCATTTGGAATTTCCCACTATAGTACTTGTGGACTTAGTCTACAATCAGGAAACAGTGTAAAGACTCTTCCTGCTGAACATGAAGAGATCATTTATTACAATAATGGATCCCAGACCTGGAAAATAAACACAGGGTATATTCATAAAAACATCAGACTGGTTGTGACACTAAATTGGATAAAATGTCATTTACTACCTAAACTCCATAAGACTCTACTTTGATTATTGGACCATGGGGACCTTTTGGGTTTCTTATCATTTCTGGCTTTTTAGAGACATTGTTCAGTAATGTTTGTAAGCTCTTAACAGATGTTGTTCCTCAATCTATATTTTCTGCTATAAGTTTTTAGATATTTTGAGGGGATATTGGGAAAATATCAGCAGTATAAATTTTTGAGAGTATTGAGACCCTTCCTTCCAGGCACATGGAATCTTCTTCATTCATAATAGTCTAGGTTTATAAACTGGATCAAATATGGAGATATCACTCTTTATGTGCCAAGTTAGACTCTTGTCCATTTGCCCCAGAATTCTCATGTTATACTCATCAAGAAATAATTGAAGAGGCTTTTAGCCTTCTTCCTATCTAGGAAAGCCATGATCATCTAGCCAAAATGGTAGATGCACATAGATTGGTTTTTGATTGTTCCATTAATGTCATTCCCCATCACAGCAACAACAACCACTTTGTCTTTGAAGTTTGTGACACTTGACCACTACTACTTATATCCTAATTACTTTCCCTGAATTTAGAGTTTTCTACTAAATAGTGAGATTCACCACTATGGGTTCCTATAGAAAAGAAAGACAAAAGAGACCTTCAAGGATGCTGGGGATGGAACTCTTCTCAAAAATGTGTTTGCTACCATCATGTTTGGTAATGTATTAACTATTTTTGGAAACAGGATCTTTCTATGTCATGCAGGCTGGTTTTGAACTTGCTCTGTAGCCCAGTCAGGTTTCTAACTCCTCATCTTTCTCTTGCCTCAACCTCTCAAGTACTAGGACTATAGATGTGTACAGTGCACCTCCTGGCTTGAGTTAGTAGGCTTGAGAGACAGCTCCACTATCTAAATTTCCAATCTCCCAAATACTTTGAGTCACATTTTCTATGGATTTTTTTTAAAGCAGGTAGATTGTTTCTACCTCATTTGGTGTGGGCTAACTCTTTGTCTATGTTTTGGCTGACAAGGCATACTTTTACAACTTTGCTAATGTTTTGAGCTTCAGCATGAAGTTCAGAATATCTACTTGGTAGGCCCATGTAAATATATTCACTGTGACCTAACAGTGGATCACTTCCACTGTAACCCATCCTCTTAGTATAAATTCTCACATATATTTTCTGAAATTTAAATTGTAACTTAGGAAACTCATGCAGTTCTTTCAGAGAAAAGCACACTTTTACATGAGTTACAGTTTGTGCATCTTCTCTGGAGCCTTCCATGGACATGAGAAACTAAAATCAAAGTGAAGGGAAGTTCCAGTAATGGCTCCCAGAAGACCCATCTTCATACAGGAAGATTTCCTTACAGGAGGACAAGGCTGTCTTCCACCTCAGTCTGCAGGTGGCATCGATTTTGAAATTCTCCTTGATATTGTGTTTTCCTGAGATAGGCCTCCCTGGTGGGTACAAGCCAAAGTCCCATGCTAACTTTACTGTCTCAAGTGGTTGTCCTCTATGCACTGTATTGCCTTAAGTTGTGCAAGATGTGGTGTAGGGAATGGAAAACTGTTCTTCCTGTGTTCTTTTTTGCTTTCTGTTTTATTGTGCTATAGCTGGATACTGTGCTCCTACTTAAATTCCTTAGCTGTATCTATGTGCATGCATAGTTGAGATTCTTGAAGATGCAGGAGTTGTTAGCAAATTTTCCTACTCCAAATCATCCTCCACTCCATTCCTCAGTATAGTATTTTAAAAGTCAGGTAAATATAAAGTACTTCAGAAAGCTGCAAAATGAGCAAAAAGAGCACTTAGGTAATACATAAGAAAAAAAAACAATGATTGAAATTTTATGAAAAAATACAGAATGCATGAAAATATGTTAAAATAAAAGAAAATATTATTATGCAATCATTTCATTTAATTTAACATAAAGGCTTAATGAGTGGTGTGTGTTAAAAGAGTAATGTAGCAACCATAGTAGGGAATTTCTAAAACAGGAGAAATGAAAGCAGAAATAGAAATGTGCTCACATTATGAAAACCTATACATCTCCCTTAAAGTCAGTCAATAAAATACTAAGGAGGGCAGAGAAAACTTAAATAAGTCAAAAAGATTGTTTCTATACATGTTCATATTACAAATTAAGAGGATTCTTAGTTCAAGAGCATGTGACTAAATTATGAAACATCATGTTAATTAAAAAGAATGTGTGATAGAGAAAATAATGTAAACTGCATTTCATTTACAAAGGAATAAATAATTAAAACAAGTAAAATGATCACTGGCGAATGATTATTCATCCTAAATTATGCTTTCATATTATCAGATAATATATATGCTTCTAAGATATCAAGAGAATTCAGCAGGCTATATTTCCAAGAAAAGGGAACTGGATTTTTGTTATCATTCCAATTGTACATATTTACTATCAAGTCTGGAAGTACTTTCTTTCCAGCTCTATGCATATACGTTTTGCATCTTCTATCAGAGACAAATATACATTCATGCAATCATTTTTATCATGCAAATCATTGTTCCAGATCCTTCAGTAATTTACTGCAGAAAAAAATAATACCAGCTTGGTAACTTTGTATCCCAAAAGAACGTTCCTGTGTATTCTCTTTGCAGCACCCCTATGGCCTTCGAAAGGAACTCAAGATCCTGATATAAGAAAACAAACACATACCACATTACCTAGCTTTAATTTAGTGAGCAGTTCATTTCCGGTGATAATAGGAGGTGTTTTCCTTTACTTGTAAAATATTTACAAACTATAGTCTTGAATTTGAATCTAAAAGCATGTTAGTATTTTAATAAAATGGAAAGAACTTAACTTGAGATTATACTACAGATTAATCTCATTCCTTTCAGAAAATAGAGCAGAGAAAATAGAGAATTTCCTCTAAATATCAGCCAATAGAGCAGTGAATGAAGAATTTGCTTTAATTTATCTGAGAAAATGGTAATAGAAAAGCAGAATAGAATAAAAGAATTATAATTTGTGCAAATGGAAAAATGGAGATAAAATTACATTTTAATAGGTCATTGGTTAGATGATATTTTTGGAATTTTTTCTTATGAAGAGACAAATTTATTTGCCAGTTAGAAAATTTATCATGTAGGTTGTTTAGCTTTTACTTTTTTAACTTCATAGTCTTTCAAAACTTAATTGCTTTTAAATAAATTCAAATACATGCAAATGTGATTTTGTACTATTTTAGGTGATGATTTCTGAATTTCAGTATATCACAATGGGTCTGCAGTATGGTGAAGAGAAAATAGCATCGTGTGCTCTCTGAAACCAGGGCTTGAATATGGCTCTGTTACTAACAGTGTCACTTAGTTAATTTCTGTGTCTACCTGGGCCAGTTTTCGCATTGATACAAGAATGCGGAACCAGTTAGGTTCAAGTTGTTGTGCATATTCCACAAGGTAATGGACACACAATTTTTACCCTTGATAGAATCTTACTAATGTGGTAGCTGCTATATAGACTTCTCTCCTTTTGCTAGCACAGTGTTTGTAACATAGAAAATAATTAATGTTTTTTTATTTTGAGAAGTGAGGGAATGATTTTTCATTGGTATTCCAAATTATTCATGTTTTGCAAGAAATTTCAATGTGGGTATTTTTGTCAATTTTGCATATGTCACATTTCTAGTATCCATTGTTCTTACACCTTCTGTAAATATTTTAATTCGGAATATTGATATAGTTTTAGAAACTTCGAGCCATGTATATTTTGAATAAATGGTTGTGAACTTTATACACAAGTATATCTCAAACATGTAATATGAGGCATAGAATGTATATTTATTGTGGGAATTGAGATACCTGCCACTAGTATTGTTATAACATAAAAGCATATAATGGCTTAAAAAATTAAAAACAGAGGCCCAAAGTGAAAATCGGAATATCTTGATTCAAAAAAGAAAAGTGAAACACAAAATCTAAAAAAGAAATTCAAAAACTGAATTTTTATATTTTGCAAAAAAACTAAGAGCAATAACGAACGTTACTCTGTGAATGAAAACCAGGAAAGTTATGCCTTCTTTATGAGCCTTAAGAAAAGCTAAAGTGAGAGCAGGTGAAGAAGTTTCAGAGAAAATACTGAAAAGTCAGCAAATTAAGGGGACAGGTTCTTTTAATAAGATGCATTTAGTTTACAACTGAATAACATAATTTCTTCAATTCAGTAACTGAAGACAGTAATTGATGATTTGGTCTGGACTTCTTTATTCCTGCCTGTTTCTCTCAATGAAAAGTATTTCTGTTGCCTTTCCCAAATACAAATGGGTGAATATGATGGAATACACTCTATCTTCACCAGATATTGCATTTACAACATGTAAATAATAACTGAAATATCAGGAATGCTAAAAAAACCCCATAGATTCACAAGTGATTCATTTGAGGAACATGAACGAAGTCAGCGTGTTTACCCTGACCGGTTTCACAGATGATTTTGACCTGCAAGTCTTCCTGTTTTCCCTATTCCTGGCAGTCTATCTTTTCACTCTGGCAGGAAATTTGGGTCTGGTAACATTGGTCATCAGTGATATCTGTCTCCACAAACCCATGTACTATTTTCTCAGTGTATTATCATTCTTGGATGCCTGCTACTCCACAGTTGTCACCCCCAAAATGTTGGTCAATTTTCTGACCAAGGATAAAACCATTTTATTTCTTGGATGTGCAACACAGATGCTTCTCTTTGTTGCTTTGGGGAGCACAGAGTGCTTTCTCTTGGCAGCAATGGCTTATGACTGCTACGTGGCCATCTACCACCCACTGCTATATTCAGTAAGGATGTCACCCAAAGTCTATGTGCCACTCATCACTGCTTCCTATGCTGCTGGCATTGTACATGCCATGGTACATACTGTGGCCACGTTTAGCCTGTCCTTCTGTGGATCCAAAGAAATTAGGCACGTGTTCTGTGATATTCCTCCTCTCCTCACTATCTCCTGTTCTGATACTCACACAAACCAGCTTCTACTCTTCTACTTTGTGGGTGCCATTGAGGTGGTCACTATCCTGATTGTCCTCATCTCCTGTGGCTTCATCCTGTTGGCCATTCTGAGGATACATTGTGCTGAAGGGTGGAGGAGAGTGTTCTCCATATGTGGCTCTCATCTAGGCGGAGTGTCCATTTATCATGGGACAATCCTCTTCACATATGTGAGACCGAGTTCCAGCTATCCCTCAGAGCGTGATATGGTGGTGTCCACATTCTGCACCATTGTCATTCCCATGTTGAACCCCATCATCTATAGTTTGAGGAATAAAGAGGTAAAAGAGGCAATGCAAAAACTCTTGAAAGAAATTGGTTTCTAACTCAAGTGTATTTTAAAAAGTTATTCAGCCTAAAGCAATAGTGGTTGTAGATCTATATATCTCTGGTCAGAATCTAGAAAAAAAATTCTTGTTTTTATTTCCTAGTGCTTATATTTTCAAAATATTTCCAGGAAAAAATCAATTATTTATCCAGTTATGTGAAAAAGTCTGTATATTAATTATAAATATACATATACCTATGTTTACACTTATGTATATTAAAAATAATGTTTGGGGATATATTGCTTAAGTCAGTCTTCTTATGAATTTAATTTAAATTAATATTACCAAAAATGTTTTCTGGACTCTATGGCTTGAAATGTCTTCACATGCATTATAATTTTCCAGCACCCATTATGAATGCAATTCCTCATTTTTCAATTACTCTTTTGCTAGACATTACTGCAACTGCCCAACTTATGCTAACATACACAAAACTAGATGCCTGTATGAGTTTTAGTTCCCCTTTTTTAAAAAAACTAAATATTTTGCACCAAGGATTTAGCTCAGTGGTTCTGCAGCCTGCCTCGTTTGCTGAAGGTCCCAAGTTTGATCTCCAGTACAAAAATAAATTAAAAAATAAATAAATAACAAAAGACTAAATATTTTGTTAGCAGAGTTCTTCCTTTCTACTGCCTAATCACTGGAAGTGATAAAATCTACTTGACATCTCAGAAAGTAGACTGATGCTACACAGTAATGTTTACTGAGTTTGTTAGAATACTAACAAATGATAAAACATATATCCTAGAGAGAAATGTACAAGTGGCTGCTACATGGCTGTTACCAAGACTGTGGTGTTCTTTTGATGCTGGAATTCTTGCTCCCAAGTTCGGGTCCTTGCTCATATCCTTGTACTGTTTTTGATCTATCATCTATCTATCTATCTATCTATCATCTATCTATCTGTCTATCTATCTATCTATATGAGGAATGTCCAGGGATTTGTTTTTGGAGCATAATATTTATATTCAATAAACAAGGACCTGAAAATTGGAGCATTCTCATTTCTCTTTAATGTGCATCTCCTCCTGATTCATTTATTTATATATACACATATGAAATATAGGATATATATATATATATAAATATGAAAGAAGTGATTGTCCTGTGATTTTCCCAAGAACATTTCATCAGATTACAGCAATCAAAATAACATTTGTTTCCAG